AAATTTGGTCCAAATTCAAATTTTTACTCCCTTAAATCTGGGGTTAATAACTTTTTACTCATGAATGAATTTGACAAACTGTTTTCACATTCTAGTGGGTTAATTTGTGGAGCATAAATAATCTCAGATTTCAATTCTTAGAACTTTCATTTTTTCACGATTTTTGAAGCTAAGTGTTGAGAACTGTTAACATTGTTAGCGCTTTCTGGGCATGAGTAGTTTGGATAGAGGAGCGAAACTTCTTTCAATTGTTGCGGAAGGTGCTGAACTCTTGCATTTAGAAGACGAAAGTGAGGAGTCAAGCTTGTTTACTCTTATAATATAGTGTTTGGATGTTATGCTTATGCACATTTTTTCATAAAATCAAGTACTAAATTCAACCCAAGGCTACAAAGTGTATTTTTCTTGGTAATCAGCGTGATGTCAAAGAATATTGGCTTTGGGATCCTATAGGCTGTCGTTAGCTTAGATGTTTCTTTCAATGGATCTAGATCATCAAAAAGAGATGAAGATTGTTGATTTTACTTCTAACAAAGTCTAGTTATATTCCCCAAACACCATTGAGGGAGAGATTTTTCATGAAATTTCTTATAATATGCTGCAAGTAGATGCTCCACAAGTAACGGGCGAGGCAAAACAGCAAGGTTTTTCTCCTGAAGAGATATATGAGGAACAATGTTTTGTTGATGAGTCATCATCTGAACCAACAAACAATGATTAATCAGAGTCTTCAACTGCAAGACCAACACGTATTCGTTTCCCCCGAAAGACATGATACTAGATTTTCTACTAAAGAGGCTATTATGGACGAGAATCTACTTATTGATGAGCTAGAAGAAATTATCTTTCCCAAACACCATTGAGGGAAAGATTTTTCATGAAATTTCTTGCAATGTGCAACAAGGAGATGCTCCACAAGTAATGAGCAAGGCAAAAGAGCAAGATTTTGCTCCTGAAGAGATCCATGAAGATCAACATATTGCTGGTGAGCCGTCATCTACACCATCACTTAATGATCAATTAGAGTCTTCAACTGCAAGATCAATACGAGTTCATCGTGCGTCCGAAAGGTATGATACTTGGTTACCTATTAACCATGATGTTAGGCACGATGATCTACTTGTTGATGATCTAGAATAAGCACTAATCACGGAGGATGGAAGTCTGTACTTTTATACTGAATCTCAATCAATCCCGGAGAAGCTTGATTGGAATGCAGCAATGTAAAAGAAAATGAAATCACTTCATGATAATCAGACTTGGAAACTCGTAGAGTTGCCCAATGAAAAATGAGCTATAGATTGCAAGTAGGTCTACACGATGAAAGATGTATCTCTTGATGCAATTGAGAAATTTTTCAAGACAAGATTGATGGCCAAGGATTTTGAACAGCAAAAGAAAATTGACTACATTTGGGTTTTCTCATCAGTTGCTAAGTTTTCAACTATATGCTTGTTGTGTGCACTTGTCACATTATTTGGTTTATTTCCCGATCATATGTATGTTGTTACAGCCTTTTTGGATGGAGTGTTGGACAAAGTGATTTACATGAAACAATCGGATGGTTTTTAGAAGAGAGAAAAGAAACGTTTGATTTGTCGGTTGCTTGAATCCTTGTATGGATTTAAACAAAGTCTCCCACAATGAAACAGGCGTTTTGATGAATTCATACATACGTAGGGCTTCAACATAAATGCATATGACCCTTGTGTGTACATGAAGCGTGTTAGCAACACAAGTTTTGAATTCATATTATTTGTGTTGTTTGTAAATGACATGCTTATTGCCGCTGGAGATAGGTCTAAAATTATTAAATTCAAAGTCCAGCTAACTTTTGAGTTTGATACAAAAAAAACTAGATACTGCTCAACGTATTCTAGACATGAAGATCCACAGGAAGGAGTCATCAAGCAAACTTTGATTGACACAGATGCGATATGCAGAAAAAGTATTTTGCTAGGTTTAACATGTCAAATGCTAAAGCTGTAAGTAGTCCATTAGCGGCTCACTCTAAACTTTCAGCAACTTTATGTTCAAATGATGCAAGTGCAAAAGGATTGATGTCATAAATTCCTTATGAAAGTGAAGTTGGCCGCATTATGAATCTAATGGTATGGATTATACCGGATATAGCATATGCGGTTGGGAAGGTGAGTAGGTATATGTCAAATCCAGGACGAGAGCATTGGAAAACTGTGAAGTATATAATGAGGTATATCAAGGGTTCTTTTGATATTGAATTATTGTATGATACACGATCAAACAATGCAATTTTGCTCTTAGGCGATGTTCATGCTGATTATGGAGTAGATCTAGATCAACAACTTGATATGTATCACTATTGCTAAACAATGCATAAGTTGGAAATTTACACTTCAAAAATTAATTTCTCAATCGTCCATAAAAGTTGAATACATTGCGGCAGTAGAAGCAACGAGGGAGTCAATCTGATTGAACAAGTTGATCATTGAGATGAAGTTGTCATACAATGATGTGAATCTTTACTGTGAAAGTCAAAGTGCACTTCATCTAGCATCAAACAATGTGATGGATGGTAAAATAAAGCACATTGATATCCGATATCATTATATCAAACAAGCAATGTCTAATAGTGCAGTTAAGCCCATCAAAATTGATGATAAGCTCAACCCTGTATATGCATTGATCAAAGTGATTTCATTAGAAATTTTTTCCAAGCATTGCGCAAAATTGAAAATTTTGCATAGAGATGATTAGTCTAGTAACTTTTATACATGTATTCTCCATCTGATTTTTACCAGCTACAGCTTGGTTCTAGTTAACCCTCGGCTATAAAGAGAAAGGATGATTTAGCTTTACATTCTAGAACGTTGCGCAGGGATACATGTGGATTGCATTAATTAGCTTTCAAAGACTTGAGTCAGGAGGAAGTTTGTTAGGTTAACTCTATTTTGGATTAACTCGAGTTAGTGATGATCATGGTTAGAAAAGTAACTATTGTTAGGTTAGCTAAGATGTGCACCTTATCTTTTATTGTATAGAAGAGAGAAATAAACATTCACTACTTACAATTCAGAGTTGCACTTTGAGAGTGAATAGGAAGGAGAAGAGCTTGGATATGGAGGTCGTGTATACAACTATGCTTAAGTGAAGTTTTTATTCTTGCTAGAGGACGTAGCCTTTGGAAAGTGAACCACGTTATCTCGATGTTGTGATTGTCGTGCGTGTTGATGGATCTTGATAATTGGGTCTTTCAAAAATGGTAAATATATGAAAATCAGACTTCAAATTTTTCATCTTTATGTGAATATCATTAATTTGATGTTTATATATAATACAAACTTAATCTAATTTTTCATGCAATAGCTAATACATGAAAGCAATAAAATGTAACCTTAAAAAATTAAACGATTTGGTACAAAGTAATTTTTAAATAAAGTAGGAAAATTAATCGTTTTTTTTTAAATTAAAAACATTTCTTAGCAATCATAATATTTTGAATATATAAAAGAATTAATAATCATGAAAATATATGATACACACACGAATGATACTAGAAATATAAGCACTCTAACTACCCTTTTCTTCCGCTGTGAAGTATGATACAACACTTATTAGAGAGATTATAAATTATAATTCTTTATGATTTCAAATGAACATGAAAAAACATGAAGTCTAAACACTTGAATGCTAGATTTGATACTTTATGGTTAAAAAATATATCATAAGTAATAAAGTATCATATTGCTTTTGTATGATTGGTGTGCATAGTTAGAATGAAATAAACAACTTGTACTAACTTAGTACAAGTGGATCAAATGTAGTAACAAAGGTTACAAATAAATGAGGATTGCAATATTCTTGCTGAACAAAGATGAAACAGATCAGGATTTGATTTGTTCATATATTTTTTAGATCAAATTTATAAATACAACAATATACACATTGAAAAAATGTACATCTCTTAAACAAGATATGAATACATAATATATCTTCAAATTTTAGTATCTATACATAATTAGGATTTTTTTCCACTCAATAAAACAATTCCTATCACATGAATAAATTGTCCATGTGATATTTATCATATAAATTTATTTGGAAATCATATCAGATATCATATATATCATTATACAAAAGTAAATAATTTATTCTTGACGTCACAAACTTCATTGTACTAAATGACATGATTAATATGAGAATTACATAATATGTCTTAAAAAATTTATGACAAGAAATGAGAAACAGTCATCAATTGTTTCAACACCACACAAAGTCCTCGATAAGCAAGAACTTGATGCACAAGGAAGATAGTTACGGGACGAGAATGACCTCCGTGAATACAAGGAGAAGGGATTCCGTGTCCACATTGCGCGGACTCACGCAACTCGACAGCTCGATACTCACAGCGGACACCGGCGCACATCGAGAGGCAATAAATAGTAGAAGGCTCGAAGGCCGAGAGGGGGCAAGCTCACTCCCTCCCCACAGCGAAGTGGAGAAAGTCGCACGTCGACCGCCACCTTGCACAATGGAAGGCAAGCGGGAAGAGCAGTCCACCATGGCAGCAATCCTGGCAACCACGATGGCAACGACGAGGACGATGACGAAGGACGAACTACAGAACTGCCCACACAGAAACCGACACGTGTCCTCCAGCCTTGAGGTGGGTGCCGAGTCTGCTGACCGCACGACCCTCCCTTCGCCTCTCTCGCTCGTCCCTCGGTGCCCTTTATGGCTTCGAAATTGGCGCGCCCGCTCTCTTTCTTTCGATCAGTGATTCGCTTTCCAACTCTCTCTCGCTCTTTGTGTCTGGCTTTTGACGTCGAGCTTGCGCGGCCGTGTCCCGGTCTGGGGCTCTCGGGGCCTCGGCCTCGGCTCTGACCATCAAGGCCATCAACATCAGCCTTGAATGGAATGTGCTGGCTGGCAGGAATAATGCGAGGCCGGATGCTCTGAGAGCCAGAGGGACGGACAGGCAGACAGGCAGACACAGAAGAGGTCCGGCCAGAGGGAGGGAGGGAGGGAAGGAGGCGAGAAAGACGAGGAGGAGAGTGAAACTGAGGTCGTGGGTGAAATGTGGTGGAGGGACATCGGTCCCAGTTGCACTTTTTCTCTCGCTGCCTCTGCAATGGGTTGCTTTGAATTCGCTGATTGATCCGAAGAGCTTGTGTTGATCTGCTCCTGCTCCTGCTGCTGTCTTCGAGTGGTGTGGATTTCCTGTCGTTTGTTCGGTCGCTTGGGGATGTAGGACGGCGTGGAGACGCAGAACGAGACGAGAGGACCGGGGAGGAGAGTGGAGAGGAGAGGCGAGGCACAGACAAGAGAAGGAAGAAGAAGAGGAAATTTTACTGCTAGCTGGTCGACGGACTGGCTGAGTGAGTGAATGTTGACGCTGGATGGGCGCACTTGATCTGGAATTAGAGATCGAAGAAGAGGAAGAGGAAGAGGAAGAGGAAGGGGGAGAGGAGGAGGAGGAAGAAGAAACTACGGTTCTTGAGTGATTTGAGATTCAGAGGTTGTCAGATTATCGAGAGGTTTGATTCGCTTCAACTTTCTTTCGAAGAGTTGTAGGACCAGACGTGGGATCAGTCTGAAATTTAGAAAGCAGAAAGGTGCCAAACCAACAAAAGAGGAATAGAAAGAGCGCATCAGCCCAGTGTGTCGTAGATTGTTGGAACTTGTTCTTATAAACTTACAAACGCAAAAAGGAAGCTGACTGTCCACTCTCTGTCAATCTTGTCCTCATGAGAACTTGCCTCGGATGTACGATATGTGAGAAGGTAATCCGTTTCTGGATTTTACTTTGTGGATGTCTCATCCCTGACCTGGAAATTGGACGTGATCTGGGAGCGTCCCAGCTATTAGTAAGCAGCAGCATCTCTAAAGCTTATACGTTCAGAATTCAGCTTGTACAATCTTCTTCACCGATCGTTGAATCACTTGACTCCCTTCCAACCCTAATTTGGCCGCGAGATTGAATAGTGGAATGAAATCCACACTCCCCAACACGTCTAGCTTATTGAGGATCGTCAATTCTTCAGACTGTTGACACGTGATCATTCTGTGCCAGCAGATGTCTAAGAAATCCGAGAGCAAAAAGGAAGAAGCCCTGAGGTCGCGAGGTGAAAGAGTGCCGCTGAAAGATGTGGTGGCTGATTGCGAGAGGCGTTGGTTCGAAGCCACTCTGAAGGCTGCCCGGAGTGGGGATGTCAGTATGCAATCTCTTGTCGGACAGATGTTCTGTTCCGGTTACGGAGTCGCTCCGGATCTGAAGAAGGTGTGTGCAGTCCAGCCATTGACCACCCAGGGGCAATTGAATCGTTGGAAGAGAAAGCTTATGGAGTTTAAATATAAGCACCTGGATAATCAGTTGGCTGAATGCTGATTTATGGAACTCAATTTATCGCTAGAACAGAAACCTCTTGAGTTCAAAACTCGGATCTGGATCACCGTAATTTCATTTTCTTCCTCCGACTCTTTATTCGTTCACATGTAATTTCGAGTAGTGTACTCTTAAGCTCATAACCAGGATATGCTCTGCTCAGGAATTCGGATAGATGACTCTAAAGCTCATGACATTGCCTTGTCAGTAGATCGTTGCTGTTCATTTCATTTTGGAATATACAAGTGGTTGATGTAAAGCGGACGCTTGTAGTGAGAGCCTGCGATAATCTTATTGCCTCTATGCCTTGAAAACAGGGTAGGTTGTGGCTCCAAAAGTCTGCGGAAGTAGACAAAGATGCAAGGGTACTTCTAGCGTCCTTAGCCGGTGAGCTGTTGACATTTTTTGAAACCATTAGTCTTCTACTCTCAAGAATGCGAATGGTTTTGTCCTTCGAATGCTTTGTTACTGAGTGGTATGAGTTCTAGAGCTGACATGGTCTTAGCCGCTTCTTGCATGTTTGCTCTCTTGTGTAAGTTAGAATTCAGAGGTCAAACACTCGAATTGTTTCTTTACAGAGTCGAACGGAGAACCTTGGACTATGTACACAAACAGCTTCAAAGATAACCAAAATATAGTTGCCATGTTTCATAGCGGTATGTGGTCGTTAGTCATTAGTCAATCATTTATAATCAATGTCAGTTCATATCTTAGTTTACCCAATCTTCTTGCATCTTTAGGCGGTGCCTCCTATGTAGTCATAGCTTTTGTAATTTATACATGTTCTTCATGGCTTCCTTGGTCTGGCACATCACCCTTCAATTTAAGGGCACTCACTGGAAGAGGATCTGCGTGGTTCTCTTCTTGCCCTTTAACATTGAGAGAGTTTTAAATGCTTGAGAGCCGTTAATGTAGCTTAATTTCATGGAACCCCCTCCCAAACTGTAGATTAATGTGGGCTAATTCCGCTGCTCATGTGGTAATCTGGAAGGACTCTCTGCTTGATGATGGCATCTTACATTTTGGCAGTTTCTGGCAGTTTATTTAGTCGAAAGGTTCTTACCATTCGAGTTTGTTGTGTGCATTCCATTTATTTTCCGCAGTGGGCAATTCTGTGGATCCTCCTAGTGTAGATTGATTCTGAAGAACACCCGCTGTTAATAAAAGTACACCTTCCAAAGGTGGAGAAGAAGGGTTAGTCCGTGCTGGAGACCGAGGGCTGCCTAGGTTATTTGCAAGGCAAGTGATATTTAAGAGCATGCAGAGGAACCCGAGCCCTATATGCATCTTGCACATCCGTGGTCAGTGACCTATCCACACTCAGGTATTCAAGTTTTCGTCCACAGAAGTGTGTATAGCGGATGTGAAAATTACCCCGGATGTGTTATATCCTAAGACTTCGGAGCGGTTACTTATACCATTTGTCGCTGGCAAGCTGAACTTGCAGATCATGAACATTGACTGAAAGTCGTGTTGATCGCTCGCAGGTTGCGAAATTGGGTGCTGGACGTATGTCAAGGGTTATGCCATAGGCATCTGGAAGGTTATTGCGGAATCTACGATCTATCCTTGTCGCTCCTGGCGAAGAACAACCCACAGTTGCTTCTGAATTCTGATTGATTTTTGTGTATATTATCAGTAGATATTACCTCATAGAACAGCAGCCTACCAAGCAAAAAAGAGTGACTTGTATACTAGGCATTGTCCGAGGGGTGTGGAATTGTTGGTAGCTGCACTGATTATTCAATCTTTCTGTGGGTCTTTTAAAATAAAGAAACTTTTCATGTGCAAAAGCTTTGTTTCGGACAGGATGTTTTTTACTCGTCTTCCATAACTTCAGAAACAATGAGATTGGAGTGACAGTACGAAAGTCACAAGAACATTTTCACGAGTGGTTCTCGGAGATTGATGTCTGTTGTAAGTAGATTTTGACATAGATTACAACAAGAAACTCTGTTTATTTCATAATAGATTCTGGAAATAAGTGCGTGATTATGAAGGGGTCTGCACATGCTATAGCATGACAACGTTTGTTGACCATTTCAAGAATCTCATGAAGAGAACTGTGAAATATCTTCAATTTGTCATCATTCTAATTGATTGCTCAGAAAAATGTGGAAGTAGAATGCTCTTCATTGACTTAGGGAGGATGATCAGGTGATTTGTTTAGAAGATAGGCAGATTCGTTGACTGAGGGTCATGGGCGGCTCTCTTGCATGAGAATAATCAGTGCTGCTGCTATGGGATATAATATTTTCCGAGATGCTTCTATGCAATTCACATTCATTGCGCTGTAGATGCAAGTTATATCGCTGGCTTACAAACGGAATTGTTTGTACATCAGATCAATTCGGAATTTCCGTGGTATTTAATCCTCGTCTCTTAATTTTAAACCCTTTGCAGTAAAAATTCGTGGAGTCTACGTAACTAGTCTTGTGCTTGACACCCATATACCCGAGTTCACCATCAAAATTTTGATCGAAAGAGGTAATATATGATTGTTAACTACAAAAGTCGACATATCCAATTTTAGAGCTTCAAACAAGATCGTCCACTGTTTTTTTATCAATCTCGGATTTAGGGAACAAGTTTAGTATTTCCGCTGATGCACTTTTTCAATTTTCGACGTTAGCAACAGGTCTCCTAATGTTCTTGTCAGCCTACGTCTTAACTGCACGATTTTATCCGATTGATGCATGCACTCTCCTACCCAACTATAGGTGTCGCTATGTAAGTGTAAAAGAGTTGGAGGAACATGATAAAGAAGTGACTTCAAGTGAACCCCTCCTTTAAAATACCATGATGGAATGTATGCGGTCAAATATATATGGACACATAAGTCAGTTCTGCTATAGTACCTCTATATATAAAAATGTTAGGCCGCTTTTTGAAATAAAGGCAAAGATTGAGTTGATGGCAGATCGATTTATGACATATCTAACATTGACAAGTTAATTAACTTTGAATTTTACTGAAAACAATTTTTTTTTTCCTTTATACAATCTCGTGGAATCCATTTCCACAGCAACCCAACTTTCTCGATGCAGTTCATTGTGCAACCACCCGCGTTTGCAATGTTTGCCACCAGTGTACACATATCGCATAATCCATGCGACAGATACCTTTTGAACAATTGCTTGTGGACTTACTATTTTGAACGTGTAAACTGGTGACTAAAACCTACAAATGCTTACAAGTAAATAACTGCAATTTCAAATAACTTAACTGCTCTACGATTCTCACACCTCCCTGTTGAAAAGTTTTATCTAAGGATGACAGGAGTACATCGATCCTAGTACTCACATATTCAACTCACGAACAGTTCTCCGATAATTTGGCCGACCGTGGTCTGATGTACGGTGACCCTGACTCATAAGGCTTCACCACCGATCGCTTGCTTTCGAATGGTACATGTATGCGTAACAGAACAAATACTCTTTACACACAAGACCCACTTTTAGACAACTCGTTCGAAAATGTGCTGGAACATCATCGCTCCTTCAAAATGCACACCAGAACAATGTCCTCGTGGAAAATTGTACGGAAACAAAACATTTGAGAAGGCCGAGAGAACTTTCCTCTTCGCAGATGATTAAGAAGACGAAACTTACTCGAACCCCTTCACTTTCCTCCGCTACTTCTCGTAAGTTTTAATTTCTCGTGAACATCCTACGATTTCTCCAGTCGTTGTAGCGCCAGTATGTGAAGAAGGCCTTGACGTTCACTCTACGAACTCCATCTGCAATAGTGGAATTATAAGTTGCAATCAATAGAACGCCTTCAGTTCATAAGAAAATTTCGCGAGTAAACAATGCTCAATCAAAGCTTGTAACGAACGCAACGCACGAACACGCAAAATTGTGCCAATTTTGATCTGATAGTCAAAACAAGGAACGAATCAAGATCAGCAAGCACTTTCCGTATTTACACTTTCAAATTGGTTGATGAACATACCTCTACAACAGCGCTTGTATATTGAAGAGTGCCCCGAAAGTTGTTTGGAATTGGTTTCCGCGGTAAGGATTGTAAATTAGTACAGATCTATTACACAAGTTACAGGCAGTCACAGGAATGCACTATGGCATTTTCTGAGCTGAATCGGTGATCTTTCGATGTAACTAAACTTGGCCACTTTGCAATTAGTAGCACTTGAATCGTGATGTCTCCCGGTCTTCATTCCCGACCACTTTCCCCGCAAGCGTGATGCTTGATGTCGGTTGTCGGACAACAGACAGGCTGCAGAAGTCTGCCATACACCCATCGGGGAAGAAGTTGATTCTACAGACACTGTCATTTCTACCTCGCCCTCGCCTCCTTGCGCAAAGGTATGACGAAGCATTCCCGAACCGGATGAAAATAAGGGATGGGGTCGAGGACAGTTGGGACGTGAAGCCGCAATATCTCCCTCAGGAACTACCCCAAGTTCTGGTCTGAATATGCTTTGACACACGGTCGTATCCTGTTCCTGGATCTTGGCAAGTCGGTCACGATGACGAGCTGAAATGTCACTAGCATGCTTCTCCCTATCAGCATGCAAATGTTCTTCCACAACAGTTTGTAGCTTTCGAAGATCAAATGGTTTCGAGATGTATTTATCCATTCCCGCCTCGAAGCAAATTTGTGGATCAGTCTTAAGTGCACAGGCCGTCAAGGCCACTATAAATCTGTGCGTTCCTTTGCCTTCTTCTGCCTCTGCCTGTCTGATGCGTCTCGTGGCAGTGTAGCCATCCATCTCTGGCATGTGGCAGTCCTGGAACGCAAACCACAAAAAGACAAAGTTTTTAACACCCCTAATAGCATGATGCCACCATATGCTTCTTAAAGCACCAACAGTTCTGGGAAGGAAGAGTCTGCGATTCGCATCTTGCAAACAAAACACGACTGTGAAAATTGTGTAATCAAACATAGACGAGAGTCTACAATTCTTCAATGAAGCCTTACCATAAGAATTAAATCGTAGTGAGTTTTCATGCATGCGTCGAGCGCTTCGATTCCGTTTTCAACAACATCGATGTGAGAAATCTGAATTGCAGCCAAAGTTCTCAAAGCCACTATTCGATTTACTCTATTATCCTGAGACACACCAACTTCGGATATTAAAACCATAACTAGGGCTGAACAAAACTTCCAAACAACTGATCTCAACCTTCTGGATGTAATTGAGAAACTTTGACTTTCTCCCCTTGTTCAATCAAAAGTACATACATACATGTAGTGGATTAGTACATGAACAACCGCAACAGTTAACGTTATCGTCAAGGTTGAAACAAGATACGGAAGCCCTCCATCAGGATGGACCAGAAAACCTAATGAATAATCCCAAAGACACGACTCTCCGATGCCAATGATGCACAGATAGATTTGGTAGAATACCTCTACAAGAAGTATATGTCCGCATTTGAGAAATAGTTTCCAGTCCCTTGATGGCGGAGGAATCCAGTGTAAAGGGTACCAGTTCAAATCCACATCTCCAAGTTGTACTGTGAAGCTGAACGTAGCTCCTCTGTCTACTTCGCTTTGTACAGAAATATGGCCTCCCATCAACTCAACTAGAGCTTTACAAATAGTCAGGGAGGCCCCGATACCTCCGAATCTGCGGCAGGGCCCACTCTCTCCCTGCACAAATGGCTCAAATAATCGATCTAGAACGTCTTTCTCGATACCCATACCTGTATCACAGATTTGAACCAAAACTGTGAAAGGATTTGGTGGTATGACACATTTTTCTACCGGAGGCCTGTCAAGGTTCAATTTTTGTAGTTCATCCTTAGTTGCCCGCTTGACTGACATCACGATTGTACCCCTGCAAAAGATCCAAACAGCACAGCACGGTCATGAGTACCTAGGCTCAATCATTCAGCCTACATCAAAAGCAGCATGCAAGACAAATTTCAGGATGATCCACAACCTCAATTTCTCTATTCTGTTTCAATTGAATTTCAAATAAAATTCTCATCTCAACAGAAACAACCTTTAAGTAATTCTACGACAATTCTCATACTTCAAATTCCTAACTGAGACTGTTTCAGAATGATCTGGACGGAGATCAGGACGAAGCAAGGCAGGTCACATGAACAGAGAATGAAGCAAATTCCACCGTGAGCAGATTGGTGAAAAGTCCATATACTCATCACGTACGATTCTGTAAATTTGATGGCGTTGTCTATCAGAATGCAAACAACTCTTCGAACTCTGCATTTATCTCCAACAACAAACACCGGAACATCGTCGCTTACTTCTTGCTTTACATGCAGCTTTTTCTTCTCAGCAGCTTCTCTCATAAGTGCCAGTCCATCATTGATCTGCAATTGAACCATGATAACATCGATGTGTTACGATGTAGGCACGGACAACAAGAATGGCAAAGACCCATCTTCATGGTGAAAAACTGCACAAAAACTACATCTCACAGCTCAAGGTAGTCCCGTTGAACAGCCCACAAAATGAATTTAGGCCTACGTCCAACTTAAGGAAAGTCCTCTGTCCGCTATTCCAATCTACAGTTGATCTTCAAAAACCAAGAGTCAAGGAAAACAATCGGAAAATCAAAGTACACAAATCCCCTTATATTCATGAAATTTATATGTAGTGTACTTCATACAATTATAACAAAAAGCCAGCAGATGAATCGAAACACGAAGATGGAAGATGCTTCTGCAATATGATAATCGCATATTCTACACCTCTATCATATAATTGAACAAAAATAATTAACTAAAATGTGAACAAATATAACTGGAAGATGTGAACACTAAAGACATCGCTTTCTTCAAAAATAACCAAAAAAAAATATGGATTCACTTTATTAGTGTGATCTATGGCGCTCCTGTTAGTAGCTCGCCGAGAAATATCGCTATCAATCTTGACAGACTTGATACAATTACTTATCATCCCTCAAGGGCATGTTCGACTGTGTGATGCCGACAAACTCATAAAATTTCAGACACCTTGATCGTAAGATACTCGAGTTTCAAAAAGAATTGCATTGCAAAGAATATCTATTCTGGCCAGAAAAAGAACCATCGCAATTGTTTTCCTGTGAGAGAACTTACGTCGCTCCGAACTTCAAAAAATTCGCAGTTGATTCTCACTTGATCATTCTCGATCGCAGTTAACTCAAGAACGTCGTCGAGAAGTCGAAGTAAATTCTTACTACAGAGTGATATTGTCTCTACGTCTGCCCGCATGTTAGGATCCATTTTTTCGTCGGCCAGCAAAAGCTTGGCCATACCAATCACTCCTGAGACAACCCGGAATTTTAATATCAACGATAGGAAAACGAACGGGCAAATATAACTTCACAAATAGAATGTTGAACGTAGCTTTCACTGAATAATACTTATATTTACCGTTCATCGGAGTTCGAATTTCGTGAGACATATTGGCAAGAAAGTGAGACTTTGCGTGAGAGAACCTCTCTGCCAGTTCTTTCGCTTTCTTCAACTCTGCCTCTTGCTTCTTGTACTCTGTCAAATCATGCCAAACGACTAGCAAAAATTCTTGATTCTCCCATTCCACTTTCTTCAGAGTTACTTCCACTGGCAGCTCTGTCCCATCTGTTTTCGTGTGTACCCACTCAAACCTGATCCATATACGGCAACTAAGTCAGCACTGATCATCATGAACATTTCAGCTGGCACAACAATATTCAGCTCAGAACTAAGCTGCAACATAACTTTAGCATTTTAACGACGCAAATACCTGTTGAATCCCGTCCTTAAGGCAACCTCGTCAACGTCAACAGACTTTTGTTCAGACTTTCGTCCATCGTGTTGATATGGAGGTGAGAAAGCACTTGGATGTCGGTACAAAATTTCATCTCTGCTTTCGCGTCCTAGAATCGTCACGGTAGTGTCATTGCACTCCATAATGACCCCATCATATACAAGCAGATATGCATCCTGAATACAAGCATCAGATGTGCAGAGCTTGGTTAATATGGAGAATTGAAGAGTTACTTCGCCTCTCCTGGTGCATGCAAAAAGCGCGAAAGCTATCCGGAGGGAACAGCTCGAAAAAAGTCCAAGTAGCAATTGTGCCGGATTCAGTTGAATACAACAGCTTTCTCTGACTATAGACTCGCAGTAACAGTTTAATATTACCGTCGATTCATTGAACAGGATAGGAAATCTCTCGTCGGAGGCCACATGTTTAGTCACGTCAACAAGCATCCACATCTCGTACACAGATGTCTTCTTCACGTGAAAATCTATGAACTTAGGCCTGGAATTTTTCTGAGTACAAATCTTCAATGTCTTCTTATATTCACCGGTTCTCTCCATTTCAGATTCAAAAAAGGCTCTCTCCTGGAATCATTCAGTGTAGGAATATTTATTAGCTGCAGGCATCTTGTAACCAACAACTCAAGGACGAGAAACCTTGCAATTGGCATGAAATGAAAAGTTCTCCAATCACAAAGACATATATAAAGGTTGAGCTCACACCTCACTGCCTTGTTCGCTCCAGAGAATTTTGTTCCAGCATTTTATCGAACGAATTTCCCTCTTGGTGTACCCAGTTATTTCAGTGAATACCCGACTGATGTAAAATCGATTCTTAGGCCTTATTTCGCACAAAAGTCCTCCTGGTATATTTTCCATAAAATCATTTGTGAATCCGTCGGGCTCGAATTCCTCTAGAGGTGCACTTAGCTCTCCAAGGCTCTCCTCCATGCTTTCGTATTCTAAATAATCATCCACTGTCTCAATGTCCGGGACTCGCGCGTAGACACGATAGCTAATCCTGAGTAATTCTGTTCGGAGCCCAAGAAGTTACCACCTGCTGCTGAATTCCCTCAATACATACTTCTTGAACAAAATCTCCGTGGCACACGTGACGAACTGCAGCTCCCGATTCTTGATGTATGAGACTGTTGAAGAGCAGAAGACGTCCTTCTGAACGGATTCACTATTTCGTTTTCAATTCGACAACAGATTGGGTGACGAGTAGTGGAGTTCCGTCCTCTCGTGGTCGGAACGAAAAGAATGAGAGAAAGATGAATGCCATTGTCTCGCGTTCGAAGTAAGGAAAAAGGATAAAGAGTCCGATGCTGAATTGTAGACACAAATCGAGGGACGATCATGTTCATCGTCTACAAACACTGCATCTTTTCTGGTAGTGCCGACTGGGGACTTACCGGAATCGTCTATTGAGGTCGACAATCTATGCACAATCTTGTGCAGCTCAAATTTTCTCGACACGTTGCATTCGCTTAATTAAAATAGAAAATGCTCTTCGGTCACTCTTCGGTCACTCATACGTTTAGGGTAATCAGCCGCTTTCATATGACGAACTCCTTGGTCTTAGAACTAGGTAATTTGACGGCGCCTCTTGGTGCCATATACAGACGATACGAGATCTTCAAGTCCGTGTTTCAGGCATTTCGTGAACCTGAAGCGATGGATATAGACGTCAATATAAAGCACCAGACTCCAGATTCGATTTCACAATCTTGAGAATACCGAATGAAGAATGTGAAGGACTTCAAACAAAATAGAACCTCTTGCTTCTCTTTACTCACGCACTCCGTGAACGTGCATGCGGTGGATATTGACGTCACGCGATTGTGAACAAATTAAACAAGCAAGCACCTCAAGATTTGATCCCATCACCTCTGAAAATCAAATGAAGATTGACACGAAGAACAAGGAACGGCTTGCTACAAAAGAGGTGCAGTCGGCCATCTCATGGAGCACAAATCTACGTGTCTCCATGTTAATGTTAATATGATCTGCCCTTGTACCTTCCGGCAAAACAACACAAATCTACGTGTCTCCATGTTAATGTTAATAGATCTGCACGTGCAACTTCCGGCAAGACAACATCATAACTCAAGGCACACCTCTGGCTTGTCACAGGTTGTCACGTGTAATTTGTAGACCCACTGAGATTGACACTAAGCCAATTTGAGTACCGGAACCCGTATAACAAAATAATAAAATTTATTCTACAATTTAACTAAATTCTCTTAATCATTGCTGACGTCGGAGACCCCAACGAGATTTTCGTAATAAGAGAATGACGTCCGCAATTCTGAAATGGAAGGTTTTAGTGACATCAGTATCGTAATTAACAAATAAAACAAAAATTTGGTTTGCGATCACTTTTCGATATATTTGGAAGATGGCAGGTAAGCAGTAACAACCATTCTAAACTCCTGCAGTTTACACGACACTCCTCTCGTTCTCAAGAGTCAAGACTATCCCGCCCTTGACGTTCCTGCGGCGCTCCTTTGCTACATGTGAACGTCATCACGCTCACGCTGTGCTTTAGGAAAGCTCCGATTTACCAGATATTTACCTGATTGCATTTTAACAGGGACACTAAATGCCAAATGACGTCACGCTGTGCTTTACGAAAGCTCCAATTATTTAGATACTTACGTGATTGCAATAATAGGTACCCTAAATGCCAAATGACGTCAGCTCCCAGGAATGACTGCACTTGCGAGATTCTGCCTTTGGCCGCCGGAGTTGTTAATATGTCCGAAGAAAGTTAGGAACTGCGTTCTGGCTGCGACAGATGTCGGGTTCGGTCTCAAGATGACGGAAGTGGAGAAGGGAATTGCGCCGAGGGGCTTTCCTCCATGATCACCATCGTCTTCCTTCACAGGGTCCAGCAGGCTCTTGCAATCGTGGCGATCAACATAGCATGGAACTTGATACATCATGATCAATTATTTCTCATTTGTAACATAACAATATAATATGCTCCATCGTTTCGGAGCAAACCAGCGAACTGTTTCTGATGCAATCTTCCGTGAAAAGAAATGCAAATGATACGATTTACATGATATATAAACTTTGCTTTGTTGTCCATTATTTTATTTGCACTTGCCTGAGGCTCGGGTGCACCACAGTCTTTTGCGAATTTTGGTAAAAACGTATGAATGGAGACCACTGCAGCATTGGAATATATTGCATGGCGATCAACTTGTTTTTTGGAACTTCACGTCACTGAGTTGTTATAAGCAAGCAGTGGCATTATGTTTGTACCACCCAACACATTTAAGAAAATAAACCTGTAACCCTAAACCTTAAGAATCGCCAGCACCAACGTCACCAAGACACGCGTTGACACTAGATGCCAATCGAAGTCAACGAGAGATTTGCTGTTTAACTTGGAATTTCGGAGTTAAACAGAAAAAAAAAAAAAAACTTACAGAAAAAACTTCGAAACTAACAATATTCTCCAAAGATAAAAGTGGATACAATTCAATTTGGATGTTAAGAGTATGACATGTTAGTAGTTGCGGGCACCCTTATACTCCGGTGCTATTAGTAAAGCTACTATTAGTAAAGCTACCGTGACGTAATAACGGCAGCTAATACAAAGATACACATCTTTGTATTAGATATACAAAGATGTAAAGATTTGTATACATTTGTATACAAAGATGTGTATCTAGACAATGTGAGGTTAATGGGGTCAATTGATGATGTCAGCTAACCTAACGGCAGCTAATACAAAGATGTGTATCTAGACAATGTGAGGTTAATGGCGTCAATTGATGATGTCAGCTAACCAACTGATCATCCCATGTTATATGAGGAAAGAAGGGGGGGGGGGGGGGGGTTTAATAGCAGAACTAATGAGAATGTCCATCGAACTCCACAAATATTTAACAAAGAGTGCTTTCATACTTAATGTAATTTCTAATAGATAAGGTTACGGGCAAGCTGAGGACAATCGAAATATCAATATTTATAAATGTGAAAAATCATGTACCCTTAGTAGAGCAAGGTTTGATGATAATTCAAGGTCATTTTTTGGGATCCAAGTATGTTATTTGAAAACCTTACCAAATCTACTATAACCTGAATCTGTCTTAATGATTTCATTGTAACATCCATTGTTTCTTGAGCAATAAATGTTACAATGGTCAGATTGTCCTTGTATGTATAGGATACAGGTGAATGACTTGTATTTTTATTTTATTTTCTAAGATATGTAGTTTAGCCGAATTGTTAGAATTGAAAGATGTAAATTAATGATTTTGATAACAAGTACTTCATGGTGATGTTAATTCACATCCTGCAAGCAATAATGCAGGATTATGATTGTGAGATGCGAGAATATGGTGATGATAAGAACCTAGTGCTATATATGACTAATCGAGGTAATTCATTCATTATGTGTAGCTAACGTAGATAGAACTTTCGCACGTAACACTGTGGACAAATCTTTCTTGGCTTAATAACCTTTATCATTTACCATCTTGCTCCCAAGGTATGAGATCCAACAACACTTGGATGAAATTGACACATTCTTTCCATTTCGATTATTCGATATCAGAATTACTGAAATACTGATACCTATTTTCCAATTATAGCTTGTCTTTTTCAAAAGAAATCATCCAGGAAATTTTGGAGATATTCGCATATTTTAATCAAAGATTATATTTTAAAATTACAGGTGCTAGTCCTATGTATTACATGATTGAGATATTTGATTTGGATAGTGAATACATTTATATTTTCTTTACAAATAATAAGCCTATAGTAATATCTCTTCTTCGTAAAGGCGTTTGAAATGTGAAAAAATATAGTGTTCATGACAATGCACAAAATAAACAGGTATATGATATTTACTCCAAAAGTTTAAAACCTACTTTTCTTATTCACATGATTTTCTTATACATTTCTTAACTCTAGCGGAACAACTGATACAAATACACTACTTGAGCGCGGTCTCAAAAACTCAATGATCTATCTCTATTTATTTGAAAAAATAATTAGTTGTAGGAGGAGAATTTCAAAAGATTCTCTCTAAACGACCATGAATTGTACTTCTCTCCCATGGAATATAATATTTGTTGTCATCCGTTCGGTCATTTCCTGTCCAGTTCAACACAGAGAGGCATCGAGAATCCCATTTGAGTTTAATAATTATTTTAAATATATAAATTTTATAAAATAAAATAATTTACAAGAAATCACTCGTCTGCTTCTGGTGTAACTTTTATAAACTTTTTTTGTAATTATATTAGTTCTGAAAATAAGTTAAGAATCACCTGGGGCGGTGGCGCAGTTGGTTAGCGCGTCGGTCTCATAGCAGCCGAGAAATCCGGAGGTCGAGAGTTCGAGCCTCTCTCGCCCCATCTTTTGTCTTGCAATGCCTTTTCCTTTTCGCCGTCGTGACTCTCTGGCCCTGCTCCTCTTGTCACCTTCATCACCAGTTCATCTGTATAATAGTTAGCATTTGACGCGTGTTACTTTCGTGCAGGGCGACACTCTTTCCAGTAGTCCGACAGTCTACGCCTACAGTACTTTGAGCCTTCAATCAGACACTTGGATTTATTCCATCCTTGGATTTATTCGCCGGTGGGTTTTTATTTTACCTTAGCGTCTAGACTTCTAACATGGGAAATATTACGACCGTGGAGCAATCATCTTCACCATCACCGACCACTCCATAATTTGTGAAATGTGTTCAACTCCTAGATCCTAGATCCTAGATCTATGCAAGAGCTAGGACGTGGAATGTGTTAAACGGTTCGCCTCAACACGCAAGTTTAAGTTCAACAGTGAGTGAATTTTCTACTCTCCTGGTGCGCCATTTATTTATCGTGAATTCTAGTTCACTTAGAACAATTTGTCCAATACTTGAACGCCTCGTGACTTAAGGTGAGAAGATCAAGTACTGGAATCTCCAGGCTTTTCTTGTGAGTGAATTATCGCATGCTTGAGTAGTAACCCAACATCCAACTTGTCCCAATCCTGAAAGATGACGGCTTACAGATTTCAGGTACATATACTGAAGTACGATCAGTTTCTATTTAAGGAGAGGATATTTGGAATCTTTTGCTCTGGTCAAGGCTGACGGCATGTGCGAACGCAAGTCTTTTCGAAAAGTATTAACTGTTAGGATGGACGGGACATATACATCTGGTGTTTCTTTTGAGCACCGACAAATTTCCTGCATTTTATATTACATAAGTTCTGACAGCAGGATCAAACGCTCTTTGTTAAAAAAGGGAATTGTGTGTAGGACGTGCAGTAAGGTGATGACAGCAAAAATCTCAACTGTATGATCATCTCAACCTAAAGGAAAAAGTAGCATCAGTTTAACCCTGAAGAAAGCGGACATCCAGGCAAAGAATAAAGATATGTTCGCGCTACGGATGCAGCCAAAACGCCTGTGCGCAGCTATGAGATACTGCGAGCCTATCATGTACGACCATGAGTCTAATTAGATGGACTGGACTTACTTCTGAACAAACACACTACACTGTTTATGATGAGTAGCGCTACTGCAAGTAAAATTTTCATGAGAACGATCACTCGCGTAATAGCACCTGTACAAAGTGTGAGAGATAGGATTAAGACATACAAGTAACTTTGGAATTCTGCTAAAAAGCTTGAAATTTTCCTCAAAATTGGAGCGGAATTCCCTGATATTTTTTCCAAAGCATGGCAAAACAATTGCATAATCGACGGAGAACACGAACCTCGATCTAGAAGGTAATTAATGAACTATACAAGACACAAGCAATTGGCCGAATAGATATAAAATTGAAATATGACGTGAACAGATACTCACCTGGAACCGCTGAGGCCTACTTGTTATGAAACAGAAAGTAATGAGTGCCACATGTAGCGTGGCACAGTGTACAAGATTGACTCTCCAGGTGCCAGCCTACCCATGAACTTCCTATAAACTGGAACCTGTGAAAGTTTCGGACTACCCTCATTTTTCCTACAAAACTTCATTCGAAAGAGTTCCCTATCTACATCAATCCAATTAATATCATTCCAATTAACTGGACATTAGGAATTCTGGGTGGACGACATCTTATCTGTTTCAGAACGGCCTCCTGCACCAAAATACAGAGCATTGTTGGGGTCTAGGTTATGAAGATTACATGATCCGATAGAAGCCAAAACGCTGACCAAGAATTCACCAAAACCAGAGGAATGGAGGTGCAGTATGTGCGGCTGAGAAGGCAAAGGTATAAAACATGGGAGTTGATTCGCTGGAGAGTTACCTTGATCTGGCTTTTCACATACAACAGGGCACGACTCAGTGTTCTCCGTCTTTTCGTTTCTAGCAGGGAAGAGCTCAGCCTTCAGCTTTTCAAGGAAAGAGCCGAGGTTGCGCTCACTCTTCTCTGCTGATCCTGGTTTTCGAGGGAAAATGTAGTAACCAGGAAGTGTTAATTACAGGTTGCAAATTGTGGACATCAAGCTGAGTTTGAAAGATAGCGGAACTCAAACAATCCTGCCCTGAAGGTAGGTTCTTCCTCCATCATTGACTCTTAGTAGATCTACAGGATGCATCTTCCGTACACCCTAAGACACTTGTAAAACACGACCCTCCTGTGCTAGCCAGAATCATCCTGCGCAGAAACTAAAAACCAGACAAAAATTTTGGATGAGCTGCTGCAGTTGGAACAAATGAACGACTACGTGGTGAGAACACACGCAAGGAAAATCAACACCATTCCATTTTCATTTACGTATGATGCAATTCACCGTCCAGACCCACCCTGTGATTCCCTTAATGATGGGCACGAACAACATATATCAGGGTACAACTGACTGCACGAAAGGAATAATTTTCTTAAAGGCGACTCAAAATTTCCATCATACGCCTGGAAAATACGGAAGGCCGGTATGAAACTATAAACAGTACAACCGTTGCTACACGACGTTCGAGTGAAAAAGAGTTCTAAAGTACTAATTCGCTGAGAAATAGGCCAAAGTCTCGAAATTATGGGCTTATGACTCTTTCCTAAGAATGAGTGTTTCATATAGTGAAATCAGATCCTTTTTAGTAGGATTCCGAACAGCCAACAGTTCAGCTCCAAACCCAGACTTGGTTAGTATTTGCTTGAGTTTGGAGATTGTAAGCTTCGTGTATTCTACAGGTTTTGAATTATATTCGTCCTCTGGTTTCACAGAGGAGTCACCCTCTGCTGTGGATGTTAACATCAAGCTACTTCCGTTCTCTGTGTGATGCTCTCTCTTGGCTCTCTTCATTGTGGTGATCTCAACATCCATGTCCTGGGCTGATGATTCACCTCCAGTGCCGGTATCATCGGTCTCAGGACGAGGTCTTTTGCTCCGAGCCGTGCCAGCCGGTTCCGTTTGGTAGGTCCTCAATCTCATGTCCAATGCTGTCTCATGGTTGCGAACTGTCGTCAATTCTTGCTGAAGCGAATCCAATCTTGCTTGTACAGTCTGAAGCTGCAACGAGAGGGACTCCGCTCTCGTATTTGCTTCAGATCGGGCAGCCCTTTCGCTTGCGACGAGGCTTTCCAAGACTTCAACCGTGTTGGCCCTTTGCTCATGCGAAGCTTTCAAAAGCTGTTCCATTTCTCGCTCGCGTTCATCAAGTCTCCTTTCCAGAGCAGAAGCTCTTGATGATGCCTCCAACTCTGCATACTTGACTTGATCCAATTCCTGAGCAAGCTCGATCTTTTCTCTCTCTAATCCTTCCGCACGGCGCTCGGCTCTTTCCAGAGCAGCCAGTCGCTCTACTGCTAGAGTCTGAGTCTCTAGTTTATCCCTTTCTGCCATTGTTGCCTCTTCCTTTGCTTTCTCTGCGACCTCCACAGCTCGCTTGGCTTCTCTCTCAGCTATTCTCGACTTTTCTTCCGCTTCTTCTAGTCGCTTTCCAACCGAACGAAGCCTCTCCTCGTGGAAAGCTCTCTCTTGCCGAGCGCTCTCCAAATCCTTCTCCATGGTTATAGTAGAGGACTTTGTATTGTCGACAAGTGACTGCAAATGCCGAACCTCTGCTTTCAAGGCCGCCATTTCATCCGTTTGTGAGTTTGCTTTAGATTCATGGTCCTGAATGAAGAATAAAAATGAGTCAGTATTATGGATCTTTCCTAAATAATCAATATCTGGAGGGCAAACTGTAGACTTCTGTAACAGGAGTTAAGAAATAGAAACCAGATGAAATACAACTTGCAGATAAACTAGTTGAAATCTATCAACCTCACGAAGTCTTTTTTAATAGCAGCAAAGATATCACAAACCTTCATCCGGGTTGTCATTGCGGCAACTCTTCTTTCTGCATGCTCCAGCTTAGTTTGCAAATCCTTCACTTCACTATCCTGTAGCAAATAAGAGTAGCCATACAAGAACAATTCAGAAATGGTCCAACTCTGTGTGTTAGCATCTCGACCAAAAGCAGACTCTCATAAAGTAGTTCAGATAGTGCACGATAAAGAAATTAAATTTCACCAGGAAACAATACAGTAACTTGACAGTAGGTGTCAACAAAATCTAAGAACTGAAACAGGTCCCATGACTAGTGATGCGAAGTGAATCTTCAGGTCCTGCCATTTTTCTTTTCCTTGAAGAAGATAAAATAGGAATTCTTCCAAAATATGGACACTATTTGAGGACACTATACTGTAGTCTAAGTGGAACCATTGTAACACTTATTGGAGCCCTTTTGTACCTTCTCCGCGATGCTTGATGCAAATTCTGCACGCAATGCATCTTCTCGCAACTGGTGCTGTTTGTTTGCCCTCTCGCGTAGAGCATTGGACCTTTCAACAGCAGCACGTGAATCTGCAACAACTGAGTCATGCTTGCGTCTCCACTCAGCCGCCTCTTCTTTTGCCGATTCACTTTGTTCTCTTGCAGCAGCAAGCCTTGCTTCAGCAGAAGTGCACCGACTTTGAAGTGAGGCATGCTCAGAACTTAATCTCTCATCTTCAGACTTCCTATCTGTAAGGAGATGATCATACTTGCTCCGCCAATCAGCAACCTCTTTTCTAGCTTCTTCGAGTTGCGAGGACAAACTCGCGCGCCGTTCTTCAAGCGAGCTGTACTTACTTTGCAAAGCTGCATACTGAGCGGCAGCTTTTTCAGAAGAGGCCTTGTATGTGTCTAAAGAGCTTTCGTATCTCTTTTTCCACTCTTGTGCATCTCTCTGAGCTGACTCAGTCTGCTTCTCGATGAATGTTATTCTCTCGGCGGAGGATCTGAACTTCAATTCCAGTGTTGCATATTCTGTTGCTGCTTTGTCACTCGCACGTTTGACCAAGTCATGTAGCGGGCCGTTCAGACTGTTAAAAAACAGGATTGTGTGAGCTTTTTGAACCATATAACATTTCCAAATTAACAATTTGACCTTAACAACTTCACGTTTGACAACAAGCAGGCCATCAGAAAACCTTCGGAACTGCCACTAGAGACACTGGCAAATCAATAACGGACACATGATTACTCCGAATGTTCATGTGAAGGATTCGTACCTTTTCATTAGCAGCTTCACAAGCTTTTGCCACTTCGTAGCACCAAACGCTGATTGCTCATATTCAGCAAGAAGTGTATCTAGAACCTGAAGATGACATGCCCCACGTGTATTAGTATCAAACAACCATATATTGTTCTTAAATGCCTGCCGGAAAAACTGCACAGATTGGAGATAGTCGTGAGCACCATAGGATCTAGTAGCACATAAAATTTGAACTGTCAGCAATGTGAATCTCACAATGAACGTCTCGCTTGAAGGTCTATTTCCAATTCAGCAATTGACTGTTAAAATTGAGCCATGAACTTTCCTGCAACGAATGCGATGTTCTTACCGTAAGAGCCTGATCAAATGTTGCTCCAGGAGCATGACAAGCTAATCTAAACCTTTCCTCCATAGAACCAACTTGTCGGAGAATCTGCAGTTCGGCTTCCATCGATACCTTCTTCCTGTGATCCTATAAGAACCAGAAAGCAGAAAAAGAGGAACTATGAGCGCAAGTATGGATGTGTCTAAATTTGAATTCCGAGTCACCAAGAATGCTAGATTCTTTAAGAAAATTAAAATGAAGACCGCTACACAAAGTATAATGTGTCGTAATGCATTTAAATGGTATATGTCTCCTGGTAACTAGGTTCTCCACTATCTAAGTAAATGATGAGATCTCTCTAAGAGAAAAAACAATCATGTAAGTGATTACAAAAGTTGTATTGATTCAAAACCACCAATTATGGAATACGGAGTTTAAACTAAAGGTTAATTGAGTCTTTTGGTTTTCGATGTACCTCGAATTGCTTTTTCAGGGTAACCATCAACTGCCTTTCGTACTTCAGCCGGGGGGCTCCAGTACCTACAGCTTCGTGGTTATAAGTTGCCAATGCAGCTTGTACTGCAGCTTCATGAGCATCTTGCAAAGCATTCTGGATCAAGTTGGACAACGGATGGTGCGTCAGAAAACCTTCACTCGATTTGAATCAACAAACTCCTGTATTCAGTCATTTAGTGCCGACAGCCTAATATTGATGTCTCAAGACTTCGCTGTCGTTTACTACGCATACCTCTTCAGGAGGTGTAGTCTTATCATACATTCGAAGATAATTTTCCACAGCCATGTCATGCGCACGTCTGCATTCGTTTTCTTCAACATTCTGCACCCGGCACAACCTCAAACTTGGTCAAAACAAAGTATAGACAAGGATAAGCATATTAATGAAGAGTTCAGCTATCTAAGAAATCGATCATTACTTTTTTAGATTTCATTCACTTATGAGACACGATGAAATATAGTTCAACGCAAAGAGTAGCACACCACACCTGGTCTGCAAGAGTTCTAACTCAGCTTTGTAACTAAATACACTTCGTAAAAATTTTACAGTAAGGAATGTGGGCCATTGAGATTTATTGTATTTGCTTCTACACGAAGATTGACTGGGTTGCGATACTAACCATCCTCGATTTCATGCATAAGCACCTAAGTGAGATAAAACCTTTTGCATAGATCCAAAGTGAACTGGTGCATAATACACGTGCGTACTGCTGTAATGTAAACGAAGCATTGTCAACTTGATAAAAGACTAGGACCTCACCTGCCAAGAAGTCGCAATCGTTGGTACCGCACCCGCATTCAACGCATCCAAAAATGACTGTGTAAGTCCAGCCAACATGGGGCCATTCATTATGGTGGAACCTAACTGCTTGGGGCGTGTTCTCTCGAACACATACTTAGTCAGTGTATCCAGCCCAGAGCGAAACTCAGAGCGCATTCTGTCCATCTGCATCCAAACCAAAGAAAGGTTCCAACATCTAAGTCATGCAATACAGACTATAGATATATTGCCTCTTGCATCCTAGTTGAAGTTGACGCAACTTTGTATGCACCAATAAACTATAGAAAGACAAAAACGAACAAGTTTGAACAGCTACTGATACTCTACCACAGAAGAAGTAAATGCATGAAACCAAAGAACATAAGACTACGAATTCCATGTGTCAGGAGGAAATGCTCCGTACAGGGATTTGATCAAGCCGCTGCAAGTCGCGCTCGTCGTTGAGTGGCCTCACTAAAGTGAAGCAGTCACGGTCTGGAAATAATGCTCGAATCGATTCTCGGATCTGGAACACGACAACAAGTTCTAGATTAAACCCCAAGATTAAAATCTACATAAACAGCAACTTGGAGGTATTACCACATCGACTCCTTTGATAGATTTTGGTGCCTACTTATGTCATGTTGGTTTACAGATGTATTGATTAAAGCCAATCCAAGGAAACCATATCAGCCTCTGTTCTCATTGACATTCACCTCATTCTTGGCAGCAATTGCTTTGCCTGAACCTCCCACAGGCTGCAAGGCTGATTCCAAATAATCGCGAGGAGTTATCCGTCGTCCTAACTCCGTTAGATCCAAATAAAAATCCTGTAGGAGCACACCATCAGACTAAGAAAAAATGTGCAAATATCCACATCCAGCACTGATCTGTATCTTTGTAATTATTCTCACTAATGCCAGAATCAACTTGATCTACTGAAGTGCCAATCTTAGCATTTACGGCCAGTGTAGAACACGTACAAATGAAAGGATTAAACACTTTATCCGCAACGTTTGTATGATTGAATACAATAAGAGGTGGCTCTGTGACTCACTCTCAGCAGCCACAGAAAGAGAGGCGAAAATTGTCCCAGTTCAGCTGCACTCGTTTGTCCTTGAGAGGCTCTGACACGGATATGTTTAGTCATTTCCGTTACAAGAGAAAGCCTGTCTAGAGCTGCTTCGTCAATTCCTCCCATCTGCAAACAGCAAATTGGAAAGACTAAGGGTACACGACCTTCATACGTCTGGGAACATAAACCCTAATCGCATCAACGAATTGAAATCATCACAAAAATGTGTATAAATTTTGCAGGAATGATCAGAAAGAAAATGAAGTTCGCATCTTCAAGGCCAACCTGGTTGTAAATAAACATGCTTGATAAAAGGACAGCAAGTGAAAAAATTTGAGTGCTGTACGTTCCCTGCAAAGCACCAAGGAAGCAATATGGTTTGAGAACTGCATGATCTGACAGATACTATGATTGACATGAATGTCCGCCAACCAGAAAAACATCCAAGTTTGAAGGTTACATATTCCGGCACCTTATTTTCACTCCTAACAACCGACTGGCTTTGCTCATTCCATTGGTGCACTGTAAGTTAACACAGATGACTTCGTATCGAAACACAAGGAATTGATGTCTTTAATATTTCATGTTCACAAATTGGAAAGGAAAATCTGGACCCCGTCCCATATTAACATTGTGAAGATGAAAGTACCGTTTGATCATAAGCATCAATGCCCTCGCTGTCCAATAGTAGTAGGCTGTATTCACTTCCATCTGGTGCTGTCCTCTTTATAGGAGTGCTCCACATCCACAACCCTTTCGTGCAAGGTCTGTGAGTAGGAGCCACTTGGAAACCACTGCTTCGTCCAAGAAGCTGCCAGTAAGTTCAAAACACACACAGACTCAATAAGCTAGACTAGATTAATCGAAATTTACAAAGGTTGAACTTCAATTTTGGTTCAGGTCTGACCTTAAATACACAATACCTCGCATTTCACGGTAAAAAAACTAAAACTTAACAATTTATAAGTTACATTGGGACAGAGAGCAAACCAGACAAGCGTAGCAACAGTTCTGATCGATGATTTCTATTCAAGATGAATTGATGGGGCCTCCTACCAAATGCTATATAGAGAAAGTAGATCAATCGGACCGAACGCTTCAAGAGTAATCTTCACAATAAGTGGGCAGCAATCGACCGTGGGGAATGGATTTAAGGGGTACAAACAACTTGGTCACTGGGTTTCAATGTCAGAAGTCTCAGATTAATCAACAACCATTTTAGTTCTCACCTGAAAAATAAACTGGTAGCCTTGTCTACGAATTTTAAATCCCGCACTACATTGTGTGTACGAACCTGATTGAGAATAAAACTTTTCCCCTGACGTGCACGTCCACAAACGGAAACCACGCCCAGAGGCCCTTTAACTAACTGCAACGCTGCGACAGCTTCCGCATCCATCCTGAATTGCCCCCTTTCATCACAATAGACGAGGCGCAAGGCTCGGGCCTTTTGACCTGTCACAGGGCTCGGTGTAATAGCTTGCATCATTGTAGTAGTAGTAGTATGCTGTACATTGGAAGGGGATGCATTGGTAACTGAGGAGGTCGTCGTTTCTTCAACCTTGGCCTTAACAGGCGTCCCGCCTCGTAATCCCAGCATCTGCATCATTTTTATATCACAATTTTGCTGATACTCGAGCAACTCCAAAGCCGCAAGGCAGTAGGTCTTTCACGTTTCGCCCGAGATTGCAATAGAAGTGAAGTACAATTTTACACGAGAAGTGACAGCCTGAGCTCGCCCACCACGGAAAACTCTTCCAACAGGTGCGTCCAGCAAAGTAGAACCAGCGTTGATCCTCCTCAAAAACCGCCTTTTGCGGGCTCAAAATCCGACAGATATGCGCAGTACACAGGGTGAACGCTCTCTGCTAAAAAAAAATAATTACAGAGCCCGACATCTTTTCTCGAAGAAGTCGCGCTTCAACAAGCAGCAAGCAAGTCCGCTATGCACGGCGAAGGTTCAAACCCCAGAATGAAGAACTACGCATTTTGACACATTGATCCATTATCTGCGTAAGAAAGAGAAAGAGAACCAACACGAAGACCTTCCAAGGAAAAAAAACGGAAGTCTCCTGTCGGCCGGTGCTAATTGGACGGCTTCTCACACGAGAGAAGAGTGCTCAACACATTGATCAGAGTGTGTGCAGAGGGAGAAGAACCAAGTAAAGGCGTCCCCGAACAGTCCCAGGCTCACCAAACAAGGAGGGACGAAAGGGACGATGTCTGAGCTAAACGGCTCCGACTCCGCTACTATGTCTCAGGAGTCTCAGAAAGCGAAACCCTCAAACTCAACACGTGGATACCATGGAATGATGTGGCATGGGCAAGGCAGTGCTGCGCTTACAACACACTTTACTGCACATCGGAGTCTCCTCCCGAATAAATTAATAAATCAAAAATCCAACTACCAAAATCGCCCCGAAACTCCCCTCCCTCCCTCCCTCCCTCCAGCCGTCTCTCGAATCAACTCTCCTTTCTCCTCTTTCCCCACCTCCTGCTGCTGCTGCTCATTCACTAAACCCCACCACCAAACTCGAAGGAAACTGCTGCTGCTGCGGGCGGATTCCTGTCTCTTCCCCGTCTTTGCTTTTTCCTTTCCCCGCCTCGTCGTGCCCTCGTATCATGGGCTTCCTTCCGGACTCCAGGCACACAAGCGCGGGCGGGCGGGCAGGCACGCGGGCAGGCCTCCTACTGGTCGGGCCGGCGCGGGAACCAGGTCCATCCTCAACATGGTACGACGTGAGTTCTTGTCCAGCTTGCAAGAGAAGGCAAGAGCGATTTCGACCCCCGAGTCCACGACGTTCTTTGATGCGCAGAGGACACGAGGCTCTGAGTGCACATGTACCGTGTACATCCTTCTTCCTCTTCCTCGCGCGGACGGACGATGCTGGAAAGCATGGCCAGTGCGACGTATACGCCCTGTGCCCGTAGACGTAACGTAGAGCAGCGAGGCAGTTCCTCCGATGCAGCATCTTCTGACAGGAAGATGCTCCATCGACGACTTAAACCTATTTCCCTCATTTTTCCAGGCCCATCGAGTGGTCGATGTCGTGCGGTTCTCATTTCGCGACCTCAGAACGATTGTCCCGCGGTCTGCGACCAGTGCATAGAGAATCTTGGTCCCGGAAGAAAAATTCCAAGCTCGAAGTACTTAACTCCCACTTAAGTATCAAGGTCGAGGCAACAACTACCACTACTTATTAAAAGATAAAGAAATATAGAAATGCTCATGGAATCTTATTTTTATAAAACCAAATGGGCTGCTTGTTGTTAAGATCCGAGATGAATAACATTGCGCTTCATATCAGAAGGGTTTATTTCAAGCGATCTACATAAAAAGTCGTCATTCAACATGATTTAAATACTAGTTGTTGTATGTATTTCTTATAGTTGTGTTTAGTCGCGGCTTCCCTATCTTTCTGGACTTCTTATTGGGAGGCCATTTGCAGTGGTCGTTTCTGTCCATTTCGTCAATACGTTCCTCTTCTAGTTATTTGAACAGCTGTGCTGGTACAGGAATCTCTTAAATACCCAAACAAATTCCAAGTAGCACTAATGGGAGAGCATCTAAGATCTCACTGGTTGGTAAAGAAGTAAAGGAGAATGGACAAGCAACTAATATCTTTGCTGAAATTTATAATTTAAGCCACTAACTTATAAATTTGGCGAGGAAAGAGGGAGGGAAAGAAGATACAGGTTCAACTGATGGGAGATATGATGTGATGTCTTCTAAGACATAGTCGAACTGAGAACAATCATATAAACAACGTGTTTCCAGCTATAGTGTATACTTAAGGTCGAAGAAAAAACTGTATGAGTTGGACTATTAGGTTGTTAACTCCCACTTGATTTGTGTTGATTCTCTCGAGCTATATGTTTTTAGCTTCATAATTATTTTAAGCTAAGATTTCTCTCACGGATCATATTATAATTGACTTGCGTTGTGGATTTCTATAGCTTTTATTTCTTGTCCAAATTTTCCTTTGTAAAGATTAGTATGAGCGTTTTGTGATGCTCATACTATTCAACGAGGATTTCAGTACGGTTACTCCAATATTGAGTTACATAAATAGCTAATCAAGAAGAAGAGTCATCATCTCAAAATTGATGAATTCATACTTTCCAAAAGTTAAAATGTTATTCTGGTAAGAGATAATTTTCTAAACAGAAATTATTTTTCATATATATAATAACAAACAATTTCATCTCAAAGTTAACCTAATAAATATTACTGATAAAAAATAATAACTTTGAAAACAATATTAGTGGTTGTAATTTAAAATTTTCATCAAAATTCAAACTATTATTATAACTTCAAATATTTTTTAGGAATGAATTTCACAATAATTGAAATCATACCCATTTATTGTGAATGCAAAAACATTTTGAGAACTAGAGATGTTGTAGTTACATTATTCAAAACTCGGATTTTGCAAACTGTATTTTAAACTACATTTGAAACCAGAATGTTACTTACTACGTAAATAATCATAATCTGTTAAAAAAATTTAATTGCATAGTCTTATCAACTTGAACTGAGCTTTGCAATATCGATTCAAACTTAATAAATATTACATCAACATTTGAATTCATTTGACTAATATTCAATTTTAATAATATTCATCACTAAGAAATAACTCATGGTATTCTTTTAGTAACTGTCAGATCGTCCTGTATTAGTATTTTAAAGAAGAAAGGAGATAATAAAAAACTGTGACTCAATATTTACTAAATCTAAAGACTCAATCTATTTTTTAAAATTTCAATTATCTTTTTTTTTCATATGGATTTATGGGAAAAATGTATATGTTGCAATATAAGATGTTGATCGAGTATAGATAATTGGGCATTGATGATTATGTCATACTATTCTATTTTATCCAGATTCCATGTTGGTTTCAATTTCATCAGACTTTTTTTCTTAACAAATGATGAGATTTTATTTTTTTTGCATTCACTATACCTTACACGTTCTGAATAACAATCAAATATAATCTTATCTTGTTCATAATAAGAACTTGGTTATCTTGACATATATAACATCATAGCATAATTAAGGATATTATACTCTGTAAAATATGTTCTCATTTGATATTCCTTGGTAAGTAGCCCTTGTAAATAAATAAATAAATAAATAAATAAATAAATAAATAAATAAATAAATAAAAATATATTTATGTCAGGTCTTGATGATATCGCATCATCTTTTTGCTATCCGCTTGCTACACATCTTTCACTCTCAAGAGAAAAAGTTATCATTTTATCGTAAGAATGACGTCATAGAACTGCATCAATCTCTCCAATTTAGCTTAAGTAGCAAATTGGAAACAAAAGCATATTAACCAGGCATGCTCATCCATGACATCTAAGCAATCCAATCTAGTGTAGACAATATACTCAGTCTACTCTCCCATCAAAGTCAAGAGTATTCATACAACAGATAACGTAGCACGTTTGGAAAAAAACGCTTGCTTAAAGCAAGCTCATATTTTAGCCTGGTAGATGAGTATATTAAACTTGCAGCCACTCCCAAGATGCAAATGCTTGTTAGTAGAAAAGCAATGTTGCACTAGTGATGGTAAAATTGATAAGGTCAAAATTGGATGTGTAGGCTGAGCATACACTACTTGAAGCACTTGAAAGTGACATGTATGTGCCATATCCATGTGTCCAAACTTCTTGAATCAAAATATAGCAACAATTATATTCTAACAAGGTATTGATTGAGCAACAATATATTGAGTTAGATGTGATCTGTGTGAGAGGCTATGATGCATGTGAAGATCAAGTATACCCAATGAATGAAAGTTGTTATTACTAAAAATAAGATGAGTCATAGTCTTCAAGTCAACCCTCCATCTCCGTGTCCAATTATAGATCATCTTCCGTAGTAACACATTCTTTTCTTTGGGTCCACCTTTAACATAAATCTCTTCACGATGTATCTTATTCCTTGTGAGGCTCAACCTTTTGTGATAATCGCGATAAAATCCTTGCCACGAGGGATGATGTGTAAATGATGATTCAAACCAAGCTGAAAGTTAGACATAACAATTATTATTGTGTTGAGAGACTACACATCTCAGCACCCCACGATGCCTTGGCCAGGGCCTGTTCCATCCGAGCCTTCATCTCTAATCTCGAAAGCTGAGGTTGCAACTGCATCTGCAAAGCTTGTAAGATGCCTTCTCTCCTTGTGTAGCCTCTGTTCATCCTGATTATGTTTCCCAAGCCATGAGCGGTGGCACCAATGCATCAGCTTACAATCGTAATCCGACCTTGGTCAAAAAGAATTTGGCACGCATCCTGAACACGTCTGAGCACATAATCTGTGCTGGATATGGAAAAGTTCATGGCCCATGTATGAAGATTCCAATCATGTTTTCTCGATGCTATCAGGTGGTTTTAATCCACATGGCTCAAGTCTAAGAATCTTGAGACTGTCAGTGTATCTGTATATGAACAGGAAGTCTTAATAAACAATTTCTTGTTACATGAACTTGTGACTACAAATGACCGCACATTTTAAAAATCACTTTAATCATCAAGTTGAGGGGATGAGTCATCTCCCGCAATTTATTGGGTTATTTTTACAAAGAAAACTAAAATCAGAAAGTGTCATCGAGAATCAACAAGATGATTAAACTCAAAAGTGTGTCTACCACCTCATGGCTGCTTCCGAGCGCTAATGGACAAAGTGGGTCCACACGTTACAGCTAAGCTCGATATCTCGCATCGTTAGAGTAATCCATCTTGATTAATTCCTGCCACCTGTGCGCTGTTAGCCAATCAGAGACGACCAGAGAATAAAACTGTCCTGATCTCGCTCTTAGCTAATGAAACCGTGCCACCTTATCCACTCCAACGCTCAACAGCAGCCGGACACCTGGACAGTTGTCCGTGAGTGTGCTTCCGAGAATAGTCAACAGGTGGTCAGACGCAATGCATGGCCGGCTGGTTTCATCTCTGTATGGGGTCTTCCCATCCTTTTGGCTATACCATTTGGTCCCACCCCTCTCGGAATAAGTGTACTTCATGATTTTATGCTCTCGGTAGATACGCATTTCAAAATATATTCATCCACTTTCCCTCTCCCTCCCTTTCGTCGAGTGGGTCGCTTTGTTCGATCCTAAACATTAAAAGTATAAGTGTGCACACTGCCCTGAAAAAGACCTCGGCTTATATGCCCAGGATTTTTTCTTTTGGTTCAAAATGCTCTGTTTTTTTAGGCAACGGTTTGGAAAATGGTTCAGCAACAAATTTAATCTGTGAAGAATTGCTGCATTACTTTCCGTATCTGGTTGTCGGTCTTTCGAGAGATCGGAGGGTGAATCAGTAGATTTCGTTTGGAAATTTACTTCTCAATAAGTGTCGCTTCTTTATTGTAAGCAAATGCACTTTCCAAGCCTAGGTTGTACCAAAACTGAATATGTTTGAACAATCTTTTGAAGGGCGATGGAAGTCCGACATACTGAGTGCTGGCAAAATTGAGTCATCTTAGAAGGAAAAGACAAGTAGTGCATGAAGCAGCTCGATATAACAGACTTTTATTGTTGAATGAGAGTCCTGCACTTAATTCCTTCCGCTACTGCATTTGTTTGTAATAAAACTCCAAATGCGAGATCCCTGCAGAAACTTTTGTACTCCTGCTTTAAACGCACACTTAAGAATATTGTCTCGGAGTGGTCACTCTGACTGATGTGACCAGACAGTACAGAGCAAAATTAGTTCTGAAGTTGGATTGCTCATCATCCTTGAGTCACGAACTTCAGTTCACATTCGGATCATCTTTGGTACGTGATCTCCATGGAAGTAAGCTCCAGAAAAGCTTGTGTATTGATACACTAGATCGCTGAAGAAGAACATCCTTCTGTATCATCCTGTCAACAGGGTACTGGAGATGGTTTTGAGCTATTTAGTTCCATCTGGAGTGCTGTGTCCTTGTACTGCCCCGATAGCTTGCATGTCGGTTGCAGCTGCTGCTTTGATGAGCTCTGAGACCCCAGAACGCTCTTGCAAACTTGTATGATAGGCTCGCAAATCATCCCGAAAGGTGTCGTTGTCCATGCACAGGTGGTTTATTGCTGCCCAACACAGCTGATGCATAGATCACCGAGGTCATTGTAACCCGAGAAAAAGGCTTGATACTAGAGGTTTAGATGTTGTATATTTGATGGATGCTAAGTGTTTGAAAGATGCAGAGAAGTATGTGAAAGTCTGACATTCTTTTCAGTTACTTACGTCAGCATATAATATCTTAACTCTTCAAGCCCCTATTAATACAGTCCACGCCGAAGTGAGGCAATACATATTTCAAAACGTTTACTTTATTAGTATCCTTTGTCAAGAAATAGTTGAGACTTGCAATCACAACCTCACTAGAAATGAGTACGATTTCGATTACCTCGATCTCCATGTTTTGCTCACTGAACAGTTGCTGCAGTTGTTCGAGTGATTGCTGCAGTTATAAAGAAGACCAGTCAGAGCAATTAGAACCTAGAACCCAGATGATTTTCATCGGCATTAGAAGCAACTGCTGTAGATGGGGTTTCAGAAAGAGAAACGTTCTTGAGATCATGTGGATTGCTCCCCATCCGGCAACTACAAGTAGAATAGTTTAGAATGAGTGAAAGAAATTCATCCTCCATACAGGTCAACTTTGCACAGTACTTTTTCGAAGCACTCACAGTCATAAACTGGCTTTCTTTACGCAAGGTAGAAAGCTCATCCTGCATCTGCTGCATGCTTCTTGAGACGCTGTCTCGATGTTCCACACATTCCTCAACAACACTGCTTTCATTGGTTTCTCCGGGTTTTACAAGATTCTGATTGCACATCGTACTGGGCGACATGCTCGGCGCGTGGTCCAACTTTCCCGTTTGAACATCACTGTCCAAGTTTCCCGAATGGCTCCCTCTACAATGCCCGTTGTTAATTGTTTCTTCATGAGAAAGGCCTACGGCTTCTCCATGTTCGTGCCTGGTGGACTTGATGGCAAGATCAGCCTTATCATTATCGAAACACATGTGATGGTGTATGCTCACCACATCACAAATTTGGTAATTTAGAAACTATAACGTTATTCATATGGAACGTCTAACAAATAATATAGAAATGTGTAGCTTGCTCAAACCGAATATTGAAAGTTGAAGGAAATTCTTTGAAAATGTACTGCATAATCATGTGACACGTGAAGAGCTACTGATAAATGCCATCAGATATTCAGACAAAACGAACTAATACCTTTTGGGGTATGTCTAAGAACATCAAGTTGAAGGATGAAAGATCCATAGAAAACGTCAACAAGATTTTAAGAACCGAGATACGTTTGGAACAGTCATAAGGAAACTGATCAATTGATCAAAATTGATCAATTGCTATCCGCCTATATTCAGAGAGGGAGAAGACAGGAGACTATGCCATCAGTACAAGAGGAAAATGAATAGCAGGATTACGAACAGAGAAGTTGATCAAGAAAGGATAAAGCTGGATAGGGTGCGAAGAAGACAGAGTTTTCTGAAAGTGGCTAACACTGTTTAGTGATGTGTTTTAGTGTTCACTACTGCATTAAAATACAGTAGTGAACACTAAAACACACCACTAATTTGTTGTGTTTAATACACCAACTGTTATATCGATGTTGGTGTACTAGAATACCGATACGATCAGATCTCTGACATCATAGTGTCCACATAGAAGTTAACTCATCTCTGCGCATCATCCGACTTAGACAAGATGGAAGCGCAAAGAAAGTAGTTGCATTCATCTTCTTTCCTTCACGACATGTATCAACTATGCGTAGGGTTTATTCGGCATAGTGATTGAATGCTCACTGGTAGCTCACTTATCCAATCGTTGATTGATGGAGGCAACACTTCGACTGCATTGCCTTTGCATGATGGAAGCTATTCTCTTCCCAGCAGGTCGTTGTACACACAATCTTCCTCTAGCAACAATCCTCTGTGCACTGAGTTGGATCAGCCTAACAATTGATGAAGATGGGATTACAGATTTGCTCTTCTGTAAGTTCGTTCAATTGGAGTGTAACGCAGGCTTTTGTCTTAGAGGTGGTAAATTCACATGATTCAGGTAGACACGTACGAGTGAACGGTTTTTCGCACCTCACCTTCTGTTTGGCCTGCTTTTGTTTATCTCTCTTCGTCAAGCGGCGCTCTAAACCAACAACACGTCTCAGCATCTCTTCAAGGAGACTGGTACTTGGCCCTGAGGTTGGAGGATTAGATACTGATGGCAGTACATCTTGCTGTGGTGGATGAGGATCGTTGTTTCTGGTTGAATATGATATATCAGTAGCCTCCTTAGATTTTTTGGCTCCAGTCTTTTTGCTGCCACCATAGAACCAATGGTCCTCTATAACTCCAGTCAATTTATCCATCTGTGCTTTAAACTCTAGTCTTGAGATGGCTTTGTTTACTCCAGATGTCGCGTTCCTTGGCTGCTCTGAAATTGGTGCTTCCAGAATCTCTGAGGGTTTTGGCTGCCTGTACCTATTCTGATCTGATACCGATTTCGTGTCTTGATCTCTCAGGACATCGCCAGCAAACCTCTTGATCACTGAGCAGCGGTCAAGACTCCTCAGCATGTCATCTAGGTTTCTTATTTTTTCCACAATTCTCGACGAAGTTGGACGATCCAACAAATCGGCCTGATGGTGCTTTTGCTTGTTTGATGTAATGTCATGAGTGGTATTGGTGGTGCCAATTCCACATTTTTGAAGAATTCCTTGCAAGGCCGAGGTCGGCGAGAATCCTGCTCCAGTTCCATGAATCTGATACGCAATCTTGTTCTGAGAGAGATAAGGTCCCGAGGGACGCTTCTCAAGTACTGCTGTAACTTCAGGAGGTAGAAAGGGTTGAAATGACTTAGGAAGAGCTGGGGGGAAAACTTTGGAGGCCACATCTAATCCAATACCAATGCCCTTAGAGGACGCCGACACAGAGAAAGGAAACTTTGGGAAAAAACTGCCCGAGGACGAAGCTCCTCCTTGAGAAATGTGTTGTAGTTTCTCATAAGCTAATGAAGGTTCCTCTCCGTTCTGGAACTCTGCAGGTGATGGGAAAGAGGACGCAGACGCGTAAGGCGCGCTTGGTTCCAAGTCCATGTTGGAGTTCGTACTGCGATGCAAATCTCCATGGCTCGACATTCTGTTTGCAAGCGACTGCAAGACATAACCATTCACGAAACAGTGAGCTCAACTTGGATACAAGTAGCAAAAGGCTTATGAATCATTCCAACTCTTCAATTCTAGTCGACCTGGTGCTAATTTCCACTGAGCCACATGCATAGGTGAGAGGCAGATTATACGTCAGATTCTTTTTAAGCACAAATATCCAAAGTCATGATACAGAAGGATAAAATAAAGTGCTCTTATGCATTTGTAAAACTTTTGTTTACCAGTAACAAATTTCCCATGAATCCAAGTAGTTGGTGAAACCTCTCGAAGATAAGAAGGAACTCCAGAGGTAAATATTCCTGCTAAAGAATATCTGCTGAAATTCATTCTAAACTCGACTATAAAGTACACACTTGATAAACTAGAGAAGTTGAAGAAGATGTTTAGTTTTCGATGTACCTCAAATTGTTTTTTCAGGCTAACCATCAACTGCCTTTCGTACTTCAGCCGAGGGGCTCCGGCACCTACAGCTTCGTGGTTATATATTGCTAATGCTGCTTCATGCGCATCTTGCAAAGCATTCTGGATCAAGGTGGAAAGCAGACGGTGCATCAGAAAACATTCTCCAGATTTGAATCATAAAACATGTCTGTCTCAATGTTTGAAAGCCGATCGTCGCCTGACGCTCATGTCTCAGGACTTCTCTGTCGCTTACTATGCGTACCTCGTCAGGAGCTGTGCTTTTATCGAACATTCTAAGACAGTTTTCCACGGCCATTTCATGCGCACGTCTGCATTCGATTTCCTCCACGTTCTGCACCCACCACAACTTCAACCTTGATTAGAACAAGGTACAGAGAAGGACAGGAAAATGTATTAAAGATATGCTCTCAGAGAGATCGATCATTTCTTACTTCAATCTTGTTCAACTCTGACACAGAATGAGAATTACTCAGCCTGGAGAATTCCGTTCCCAGGTGTCACAACTGAATGATAACAGATCCCACCGGACCTCCAAAGAGTTCAAACTCATCTTGCAAGTAAGTTTTCCTCTTTACCATTTAACAGAAAAGAATTTGGTGCAATTGTGAAGGAATGAACTTTCTAACACCTGAACTTTGACTGGGCAGCTAATTGAACAATTCCCAATCTTTTTCATAAGCAGTCCCTAAGTAAGTAAATATGTTTTCTTGAATTTCAAAACTGAACATGTGCAGAATCAGCTCGACTACGGCCTTTCTGGGAATGAAGTACGAACTACGTCATAAAGGTCTAGGACATCACCTGCCAAGAAGTGGCAATAGATGGAACGGCACCCGCATTTAGCGCATCCAGAAAGGACTGTGTAAGTCCAGCTAACATGGGGCCATTCATGATGGTGGGACCTAACTGCTTCGGGCGTGTTCTTTCGAACACGAACTTAGTTAGCGTATCCAACCCAGAACGAAACTCAGAACGCATTCTGTCCATCTGCATTAAAACCAGAAAGACTTCTCAAATATCTCAGTCATAAATTACAAACTACAGAAATATTACCTCTCTCATCATTGTTCAAGTTGATGCAATTTTAGATGCAAAATCCAGATATATTGACAATTTAGGATGACACAATTGGACATTTTCAAGCAACTGATATGCTAACACAGGAGAAGCAATATAATAAAACAATTGAACAGAATACCACAAATTTTATGTGGCAGCTTCTAGAGGGACTCTAGCTTTTCGTACAGGGATTTGGTCAAGTCGCTGCAAGTCGTGCTCATCATTGAGTGGCCGCACTAAAGTGAAGCAGTTACGATCTGGGAATAGTGCTCGAATAGATTCCCGGATCTGTGAGAAGAAAAAGAAATCTGAAACTTGCATGTCGTGTATCAGATCTGCGAGTTCATGTAGTACTTTCATGGAAGATCCCAATATTGAGTAAATTTTAATGAACTTTTTCAATTACAAGCTCACAGGTGGTTTTAATTTGACAATTCAGTTCACAAATTTCACAATAAAAGCAGCTTTAAGCTACAATCATTTAGCAAACATTGATGGATTCCACTGGCAACTATGACATGTTACAATGAATTATCTGTTCATCAATGCCAACTCGAAGATATCATATCAGCCTGTGTTCTCATTGAGATTCACCTCATTCCTTTCAGAAACTGCTTTGCCTGAACCTCCCACAGGCTGCAAGGCTGATTCTAAGTAATCGCGAGGAGTTATCTGTCGTCCAGATTCCGTTAGGTCCAAATAAAAATCCTGCAGGGGTAAACCATCAAACAGGAAAGGTGAACAGCTATTGAACTCCAGCTCTATATCTAGATCGTTGCATTTATGCTCACAGAGGCCAAAATCAGCTTACTCTACTGAAGTGCCAATCTTAACATTTGTGGCCATAATCGAGCACATTCAAAAGAATGGAAACAATACACTTTATCGCATTTACAAAACTATCACTGTATCACATTGGCAGCCAAGTATGTTTGATTAGATACAATACGAGGAGGTGTGACTCACTCTCAGCAGCCACACAAAGAGTGGGGAAAACTGTCCCAGTTCAGCTGCACTCGTTTGTCTTTGAGAAGCTCTGACATGGATATGTTTTGTCATTTCTGTGACAAGAGAAAGTCTGTCTAGAGCTGCCTCATCGATTCCTCCCATCTGCGAACAGCAGATGACTAAGGCTACGTTAAGTTGTCACGTCTGAGACAATAAACTCTAACTAAATAAACAAATTTACATCATCAACAAAGAGGGTTGTAAGGTTGCGAGAAAGTTAAGAAAGAAGATGAAATTATCAATTTCAAGGCCAACCTGGTTGTATATGAACATGCTTGATAGAAGGACAGCGAGAGAAAAAATTTGAGTGCTGTATGTTCCCTGCAAAACACAGCAGAAGTAATATGGGTTGAGAACTGCATAATCTGACAGATAATCTACATGGACTGAAAATCTATAAACCAGAATGGATGTTTAGTTTGACGGGCTAGAATATTCAGCACTTTACTTTCAAATTCAGCAGTTTATCTTCAGTCTCAACAACGAACTGAATTTGCTCCTTTCATTAATGTCATGTAAGTCACACCGATGACTTCGTACAAGGGTCAGTCGCAATTGGGAAAAGAAGTCTCCGACCTCCATCCATTTTGACACTAAGCAGAGAAAAGTACCGTTTGATCATAAGCATCAATGCCCTCGCTGTCCAACAGTAGGACGCTATACTCACTTCCATCAAGAGCTGTCCGCTTTAAAGGAGTGCTCCACATCCACAGCCCTTTTGTGCAAGGCCTGTGAGTAGGAGCCACTTGGAAACCACTGCTCCGTCCAAGAAGCTGCCAGTAAGTTGAAAACAAATAAAGACCTTAAGCTTGATGAAATTTTCTAGAATATACGACAGTATAGTTAAAATTTACAAAGGTCTGACTCCCATTCTGGTTCAAGTCTGATCTTTAAACATAATTTCCTCGCAATTGACTAATCAAGGAAATCATCGGTCTTGACATTGCAAATTTACAACTGAACAAAGACCATCGCTCTAACAGTTCTGATTAATGAACTTCTGAAAATTATATTGATGGAACCTGATACCAAATGTTGTCGTGTGGTAACAGAAGGTCAAACAGACACAAGGTTTGGAACAAAATCTTCGTAGAAAGTGAGGGACAATCGAGCATTACGAATGAATTCAAGCCGAACAAACACGACTCTGATGCTCAGTTCCAACATCATGATTCGAAAAAACCGATTTTAATTCTCCCCGAAATTAAACTGGGTTCCTCTTCTACGAATTTTTTAACCCGTCTGACTTTGTGTACGAACCTGATTGAGAATAAAACTTTTTCCCTGACGTGCGCGTCCACATATGGAAACCACACCCAGAGGCCCTTTAACTAACTGCAATGCTGCGACAGCTTCTGCATCCATCCTGAATTGCCCCGTTTCATCGCAATAGACAAGGCACAATGCTCGGGCCTTTGGTCCTGTTGCAGTACTCGATGTGATAGGTTGCATCATCTCAGTAGTAGTAGGGGTATGTTGAACACTGAAAGGGGAAGCATTGGCTGCAGAGGACGTCGTCGCTTCTTCGGCTTTGCCTTAACAGGCATCCCGCCTCGTTAATCCCAGCATTTGCATAATCTGAACCACAATTCTGCTCATGTTCGAGCATTGTAGAACCTCTAGGCAGAAGGTCTTTCAAAGTTTGCCCGAGTTTCATATATAAATGAAATGTAATCTGACAAGAAAGATGACATTCTGAGCTCACCGTCAACGAAAAACTTTTCCAACACGTGCATGCAGCAGAGTTCAACCAGGATCGAACCTCCGAAAAAACCGCCTTTCGCGCGAAATCGAATAGATATGAGCAGGAGAAAGGATGAAGGATCTGTGCTATATGTAAAATCAGAACCCAACGTCTTTTCTCGAGGAAGGCAGCCTTAAATAAGCAGCAAACGAATCCGCCATGCACGACGCAGGATCAAATTCAAGATGAAGGAATCTGCAATTTGACAAATTAGTCCAATATCGAAGAAAACTGCGCAAGAATGAGAAACAAAACTAAGATATTTCAGAGAGAACAAAGAAAAGTACGGAGATCTCCCTTCCCGCTAATGCGAATTGGAAGGCTTCTCAAAATCGACGATTACGAGAATGATGAACATCGTGTCTGCAGTTAAAGAAGTACCGGAGCATTTCGGGTTCGGTTCTCTTCTCATATGGCGGAATTAGCCATTTTTTTTTCACCCGATGCGTCGATGTTTTCCCCTCTACTGGTTGAAAGGCTCTGCTGATATGCATCTCTTAAACACTAAACTATGTTTCACAAGCCGTAAAATTTCGACAGAATCGAACATCTCACCTGTTGTCAAAGAGCGAAAAGAGATGGAACATGCAACACAATTCTTGAGTTTCATCTCTTCGAGAATATCTTTGTCTAGGATTCTAAAATATTTTGATGGCGAAAAGTTTAGAATGAAAGAAAGATAATACATGAATGAGTGATGGAAAATCGATGAATGATTTACTAACCATGAACATAGACTATGGATGAACTCAGACTTACCATGAACAAGGTAATAGAATGTGTATCAAGTTGGTACACTTTTTCTTATTTTGGTACTACCAAAGTAAGAAATTGCAATGAATATTGGGTCTAATGCCAAGAAAATCACAATTTTGAAGATGTCACAATTAGATTATACATATATCGGCATACGTATAAAAATCATGTGTAGAGATATTTCAAGACTTAAGTTTAGGGTTTTGGAGCTTTTAACGAAATTTGATAGATATGTATGAATTTTAATTTAAAAAAATAGCTAGTTTCCTATTTAGAACAACGAATGAAAATTTGACATATAATCATCAGAGTTATAGATTTGTAAAGATCAAATTATTACAAATTATATAGCAAAATGAATGATGTATACTATCAATCACCTTCTGAATCTAATTTGAAACAAGTAATTAGATTCCACTTCCATCAAAATCTTATACAAAAATATACAATTGGTTTGCAATATATTGAGGTCAATTTATCATGATCATAGGAAAACAAATGATGACAATCCTTTCTTAGTTAGAATTGAAATAGATGGAGATAGTGATGACTTATATGAGATTATCTATAATTATCATGTAATGATACGTATGTTTCATTATTAAAGACCAGAAATGATAGTTAACAACGACATGTTAGCAATTTGAATCATTGTTAAATAATCTTAGATGGGTTAGTTAAAAACAAAACATTAGCAATATGTGTGTTTATTAAATATATACGTCATATCATCAATCCATTAAGAATCAAACTGGAGACTGAAACTCTATATATATATATATATATATATGTTAGAAGTTTACATATAATAAAATAGATACCTTTTGTTTTCACAGTTTGTTTTTTATCAACCAAAACTTCTAAGATGTTATAAGGTTGTGAGAGCTAACTTGCTCTTCTCTTAATAGTGTATTATCTATCATTCATGGAATAGTAAAATTGTGATGAATGATCTTAGTGTTTGAGAGTATATAGAGACTTTCAGAGATCATGCAGATTAATGAAAGGAATAAATTTTTTTGTTCTGCAATTATGAAAATGCTTGATAGATTTTCAATATTACATTGTTTAATCTTTTGTTGAGGTTAAATCATGTTAAAGAGTAACGTTAGGTTTGAAGGTTTGATCTCAAGGATCAAATTTCTTGTAGAATCAATTACATAACAAGGTGATTGACACTCATTAAAGTGTGATTGATGCTAAGCTCTAAAACAAGCTATTAGCAAAGATAACATTTGTTGAATACATATGCTTGGGAATCTACTTTCATTGAATCGTATACATCATTGCCCATTAATTTAAAATATACTTTGTCGCTTCTTTCAAAATATTTTGATGCCTCCTTTAATCAACTAGATCTTGGTGTCACATTTTAAAAATATTAGTCCTAACTATTTTGGGCTTTGCAACTCTTGTAGAGTACATTGAGTCTTTGAAATTTATGGTCTTAAAATGCCAAGTTGTAGCTTTTCATCACGCAAGAAATTGAGTATTTCTTCAAATTGACTTCATTGTATATAGCTTTTTCATCGAGACAGACGAGTTCATCGCCTTTTCCAATGAGAGATCATCGTCCGTAATTGTTATAAATCCCGAATCTTCAAATATCATGTACATTTAAAATCTATTGCCATATATTAGTCATACTTAAACTTCCTTACTTTTCTTGAAACAACTGGGCTATTATTCATATTGTTCATTGAAGGATATTGCTTTGAGTATTCCCTTGTCATACTAAAGTTTCATGTCCATATTCAAACTCCAAACCATACCCTATATCAACTGGTCAACACTTGAGTAAAGCGCTTTGTTACGATAAAAATTAGAACAAAAGAGACATTTCTTAAACTACAAAGTATGGTCATATTACCATCATTGTTGTTAATTTATTACTACGATAGTGGGGAGGTTCGTGTATCCTTGTTCACACTCGTTTATCGATGTACAATGTGTTGCTAATATTTGACAAGAGGAACATTTAGGGGTGTTGTCATTTGCGGTGCCATTAGTTTCTTCTGACTTGGGCTTTGGTTTTGCCAATTCATCGTGTTTCACTTCTCCTGGGATTATGTACATATCAGAGGTCATCTAAAGAAGCTCGAAAAGTTGTTTCATTAACTAGCATAGACAACCAAGTTCTCAATGTCTCATTTGGTAATTTCCCATTAAACTCTACCTAACAACTATACTTTCGTAATTGCCTTTTTGAAAAGCTGGTAGGGTTTGAGTACTTTGTTTATCATGACTTAGACATAGAAATTGCAAAGTATGTACAAAATGAAAATGGCATTGCTATGATAGGGGATATAATTATACGGTCTGGAATTGTCGCTTGATATATTTCTAGTTCACACACCTTTGTTATCGTTACACTTTGTGTAGAGAATATACGGAGCATGTAAAGGGTGCTTCTTTCTATGACCCCATTTGGTATACATTTTGATCGAGAGAAGTGTACATCTTTGGTGCAGCCCATCGAGACGCTATTGGGGCTAGCACACATTCTTACCCTCATGGTATCACGAGTGTGGGACTTGATGTGGTCTCGTCATCCTTTTCGCTTCAGCATTGCGTTTTCAGGTCTCCTAAAGCGCTTACCCATGAATGTGGACTCTATGGACATGCTGTGGACATCAGGACATCATCCGAGTGAATACATCATGAAGAAATCCAGAATTCGCAAATTCTCATGACGGCAGAGCACGAGAATCATGAGCGAGCGCTTCAGGTTGTCCTAAACCTGAAGCGCCTCGGTCATGAACCTGGACTCGTGCTCAGTACATCAGGACATCAAACGAGTGAATACATCATAAGAAAATCCAGACATCGCGAAATCTCGTGCTCTGCCCGTCACGAGGATTGCGACTTGCCCGACCAGTTCACATACTCTGGTGTGGATCCGTAGCAAGTTTTGACATTTTCTGGCTGGTCGAGGTCAGCGATGAGGATTGTAGAAAGCACGAGGGCGTGGATTGAAGAGCATCCACTTGAAGGTGGGGGCCATTGCCGTCGTATTGAGCTCGCGGTTTCGACGAAGGAACAGGAGGCAGTGCCACCCTACCCCCCAAGATCTCGACCACCTGTCGCATCGTCGGCCGACTGCCAGCGTTGGGATGAGAGCACAAGAGGCCCAAGAGAAGAAGCACTTTCATCTCTTTTGCATCGAACTCCTCGCCCAGTCTCGGATCTACGACATCAAACAGGCGTTCCCGATCCAGCTTCTCCCAGACCCAATCCACAAGGAAAGTCTGCTCGACCGGCCCCTTGAAAAGGTAGGCCGGTCTTCCACAAGCAATCTCCAAAGCCACGGCCCCGAAGGCGTACACATCCGTATTGTCGGTGAATTTCCCCGAGCCTGCTACCTCGGGGGCTATGTAACCGAAGGTCCCGGCAATCTGAGTGGTGGCAGGATACCGAGAATGATCCGCCATCCGAGCCAATCCAAAGTCCCCCAGCATGGCGTTGAAGTCCTGATCCAGCATGATATTGCTGGACTTGAAGTCCCGATGAATCACCTGCTGCCGCCAGCCCTCGTGCAGGTAATATAGAGCGTCTGCAGAACCGGAGATGATTCTGAACCTGAGCTTCCACGGCAGAACTAATTCTGGACTCGCCGGGTGGAAAAGAGCCTTGTCCAAGCTTCCGTTGGGCATGAGCTCGTACACCAGCAGGAGGTTGCCCCGTTCGTTGTACCATCCCAGCAGCTTGACGATGTTCCGGTGGCGGATCTGGCTAATAATCGACACCTCGGCCCTAAACCCCTTGAGACCCTGATTCGAGTCCGGATTCACTCTCTTCACGGCCACGAGCTGTCCCGTATCGCGCAATTGGCCGCGGTAAACAGCACCGGATGCTCCTTGACCGAGCTTTGATTCCTCTCCGAATTGATCGGTTGCTATGGAGAGCTGCTCGAAGCTGAACTCTAGGCTGTCGTTGGAGTGTCCCAATTCAACCCCATCCAGACTGAGAGCTGGTATATCCCCACCCTCAGGAGGATTCGATTGTTTCTGTCCAAGGACCAGTGCAACGATGGCCACGATTGAGAATAACAGGACGACACCCTGTGAGACTCCAGCGATCAAAGCAACCGGTACTTTGCCGCCGCCGCCTGGTTCCGGAGGCAAAGCTGGAAGAATGGGAGGCGATACTTGAACTATGGCTTCAGGGTCAGAAACATATGAAAAAGTCCAGTCATAGACTGTGTAGAAATTGAAACATTCACAGTTTCCGTTGGCTGCTGAAAACCCGACGTACACTAGCTCGTCTGGATGGAAGACGTCGAACAGATTTAGTGGGTAGACGATAAAAGGTAGAGACGGCTTTGCGTTGTAACCTCTGATTCTCACCTCTAGCTTTTGAGTCGATGAGTTGTAATCTATCCACGAGTATATGCTATAATTTCCGGCAAGATCTATACTGACCTCCCAGGCGCTTCTTGCTAAGGTTGAATTGACATCTTGTACGTCCACTCCCACATGATTGTTGTTTTCGTTCCCGAAAGCCGAATTTTCATGAGTGTCAAACTCGATTGCCAGTGTCCTGGCGATCGGATGTCCCTGTGGATCGAAAACACCGAAAGAACCTCCATCATTGCCTTGAC